GGTAGAGAAAGTACTCTTTAGATTAGGCTTTTCTCCTTTTGACTGCAACCTGAATGTGCACTGAATCTACTTGAATAAATGTAAGTTCTGACCTTGTGTAACAGACTCCTTGGGAGATTTATTTACTGCACGCAGGGCTATTTTTGGGCAGGAACGCACGGGAACGGAGTTCCGGCTGGCTCCCAAGTTGGCCACGCCCAGCAGGAACTCATTCGCATAATAGGCCACACCCAACAGCAGAAATGCATTAGGATTGGCTACATTAGGGGTGTGTGGCCTAACATGCAAAGGAGTTCCTGCTACAAAAAAAGGCCCTGGGTTTTGACAACAAACAAGGTAAACAGAATAAGAAGCAAAAGGTGGGTGTGGCTGGATAACCACGCTTCTGGTAACTTGGGGGTGCGTCCTAATGTGCCAATGAGCTGTGCTGGCAGGGGTGTGGCCTAATATGCTAATGAGTTTCTGGTGTTGGGTGTGGCCTATTATGCTAATGAGTTCCTGCTGGGCTTTTTCTACAAAAAGAGCCCTGACTGCACTCAGCACCACAGTTCTATGAATGGGCAAACTCTGCTATATTCACTAAATATCCCAAAAGAGGCAGCGTAATTACTGCCCTTAGAGAAGACGTCCCCAGAACAGTGATTCATGCACAACATAGAGGGGGGATGCCTCTGATGGTGTCCACACACATTTTCTGGTATCCATTTTGTGTATCAAGCAGAGCGCTTTCTGTAGCAGGAATTCCTTTGCATATTAGGCAACACACCCCTAATGTAGCCAATCCTCCAAAAGCTTACAGTCGCCCCTGTAAGAAGAGCTCTGTAAGCTCTTGGAGGATTGGCTACATTAGGAGTGTGTCACCTCATATGCGGAGGAGTTCCCACTACAAAAAGAGCCCTGGAAGGAACAAGCAATACATAGATCCAGAAAGAACTAAGTGGGCTTCTGTATCAAAAGTCTGGGAAACAGATTTCAATATGCAGAGATTTGGAGCCACTTCACTTGTTAGATGAAAGACAAGTTCCCATTTGTCAACCATACTAAAACCTTATATTCTGTACTACTCAGCCGGCATTAGTTCTCAAGGTAGCTCACAGTAAAATAAGCACACCATATACAATAGAATACTAAAAACAACTTAAAACTCTGACGATAAAATCAAAGGCAGCACAGCACTACAAACCAAACACAAGGTGAATGCATGCCAGGAAGCCTCAGGTAAGTGCCAGTTCTAGCTAACATGTATCATGCACATTAGACCTATGGCTCCCATTCATGGTGCATGGCTCACCACATAAATAAGCACTGAACAAACAGGAACTCTTCTTTCCCAAAGCACATGAAGCAGCTCTTACATGGCTCTCTATTGATGGATTACGTTTGTACAAATAATATTGCATCAGCATGCTTTTAGTCTAGTTGACTGTGCACACGCAGGCTCCCTTTAGCACAATACCATCTGCAGATCAGCAAAATCATAAGATAGAACTGAATGCAAAAGCAAACCTCACACGTTCCTAGATTCCAAGAGTGGATAAGATTAGAGGGGCCATATGCAAATTATAGCTGAGCCTTTGCTGTGCCAGATTTTTTAAAATGACGTGAGTTTCATTAGGATACTCTGTAAAAACCACTTGCAGATAGCGAAACAGCAGTTTCTTTACACACATTACCTAAAATCGTAAAACCTACCTTTGCAAGTTTTCCCATCAAACTGAAGAGTAAATCCAACAGGACAGCTGCAGTGAACACCTGTTGAGGTATCCTTACAAGTGCGATCACAGCCACCGTTATTGACGGCACATGTTTCTAAAGGAAGAGAAAAAAATGGCTTTTGCAGAAGGAAAAAACTAGAACGGAATTTAAAAAGTATTTTTATTATTTTACTAATTACTTCAGTTATACTATGCCTTTCTTCCCAATGGGGACTGAAAGCCACTTACATCCTTCTCCACTCCTCCACTTTATCTTCACAACAGCTCTGTGAGATAGGTTAGGCTGAGAGTACATTACTGGACTTACATCCTTCTCCACTCCTCCACTTTACCTTCACAACAGCTCTGTGAGATAGGTGAGAGTACATTACTGGCCAGCAAGTTCCTACGGCAGAGTGGGGATTCGAATCTGAGTGTCCCTCATCTTAGTCTGACATTCTACCCACTACAGCACACTGACTCTAAAAGTAACATGCATGTGATGCTTGCTTTGATTCAAAAGGAATTACTTCAATTCTAAGATGCCTACAGCATAATTAAGACGTGGGCACCTTTCTTCCTTTGTTAAGTGACATTAACTATACCTTCAAACATTGTAAAAATGGCATATGTGACAGCTACGAGGTTTGTGATGTGTCCTACAAGCATCCAAGAAGAGGAATCAAAGTTTCAGTTGCTTTCATATGGATATTTCATTTCATTCATTCGGGACATCAAATGAAGATAGAAGGCCATATTTAAGCCAAATGGTTGGATGTTCTCAACCACACTGTCACCAGCAAGCCGATTAACACAATTTAATTACACTAAGCCCCTAAAAGTCTTGACATAAAGGCATCTGTAGCATCTTTATTTACTGTTGCATAGGCTTCCATGGATTAAAAAGGTAAAGGTTCCCTTGCTTTTAAGCCAGTCGAATCCGACTCTACGGTTGCGGTGCTTATCTCCATCTCAAAGCCGAAGAGCCAGCGCTGTCCGAAGACATTTCCGTGGTCATGTGGCCGGTATGACTAAACACCAAGGTGCACGGAATGCTGTTACCTTCCCACTGAAGTGGGACCTATTTATCTACTTGCAATTCCTTGCTTTCGAACTGCTAGGTTGGCAAAAGCTGGAACTAGAGACAGGAGCTCACTCCGTCATGCGGCACACTCGAGTCTCGAACTGCTGAACTACCGACCTTCCCCAGCCTGCAGTTCAGCATCTTAACCGCTTGAGCCACCGCAGCTCCTTTCCATGGATTAGAGCCCACTTAATCAGACACATGAAGCGGACTAGTCCATTAAAATGTACGTTATCATAAATCTATTCGTCTAACAGGTGCTACAATTTTTTTGTTTGCTTCTGATGCGACAGCTACCCCTGTAGAATTCTTCACAAAAAGTCTTGGAATCACGAATTGCATTCTCATATCCTGTCTCAAAGAACAGCATAGCAGGTTGGGTATAGTAAATGCTTCTACGGACAGAAGGATTTCCATTCATGCAGTGCAATGTTCCCTTCCCGTCCCCACAGCAGCTCAAGAGCCCCCCCCCCAATGCTGCTCCTGGAGACAGTGGACTCCCCGGAACAGCAATTCGGGGGCATTTGGGGCTGGGGGGGGGAATCCAAGCCAGTAATTTCAAGCACTTTCAAGTAATCCAGAGTCCCAGTTTTCCACTGAACAGCATGCTCTCTGATCACAAGGCGGAAAAGCAGTATTTTCCCTTGTGATACATCTTAAATTACCCACAGACTTCTCTCTGATGATGACAGACCACAGATGCAGTTCCAGCATGTTTCAAGTTCAGCAAGACTGGGAAAAACACTGCCTCTGGGCATGTGCATGACTGAATGTGTATGCTTGAGACAGCCAGCACAGGAGACAACATGACAACGGTTCACACAGGCACTGTTTGTGAGTGCCCCTGACAAATGCAAAACTTAGACCTTTATGGCATGAAAGCAAATGCAACTCTTATTGACTTATCAACAGAATGAGTGTTTACAAGAGCACAAATTCTACAAGCTACAAAACATCAAGGAAAAATGTTTTTACACAGCTAGGTTAGGAAAACCATTATCTTAAAAAAATCTGAAGACTTTACCCATGAGCAGTCGCCGCTTCACCCGCTTGTCTACATCAGCTCCTGCTGTGGCATTGTTTTCCACTATCTCAGTTGAAGCCTCATCTCTCTCTAATATTAAAAAAGAGTCCCATGTGAAAAAGAATTGTTGCCCAGCACCACCCAGTGATCAGCAACATTGAGAATTTTTCTTCTGTTGTATAGGACATACTACAAACACTGTACTTTTCTGGAAAGGGTTTAAGAGAAATAAATAAGAGATAAGAGAATCCTTGTACAGTGCAGAAGTACTGGACTTACTAGCACTAGACACTGCAGTGCTAAGAAAGCACCAAAGATCAAACTGGCTGCTCCAAACACAAAAAAGACATGCACTATTACTGAACGATAGCTTTGCAGAGGATGCCAATTGCTTTATAAAAATCTATCATCATCAATTCAGTTGCAAAATAGCATATATATAGATATGTGTGTGTGTGTGTGTGTGTGTGTGTGTGTGTGTTATACCCTGAGTGCAAACTCCATATACTATTTCATCTATAAATAATTGATAGCTCAGACTTCAAATATTCAATTAATGGAAACCAACTACAGTCGATAAATTCAATACACCGTTGCAGAGCAGACAACTTAACCACCTGCATGGTATCCCAAACTGTCAGTAAACACTTTCCCACTTCTGTGGGAGTCGCTGGGTCTTCCAATACCTTACAAACACCACTCTTGCAACTGCCAACATATTTAAGATTATTTCTCTACAAGGAGATTAGTACTCTCTCTGTGCAGTTCAAGAGGAAGCTTTTAGGACTCCGCGGAAGCGCCAGTATTCCAAATGTTAAATATTATCTTTTGGACCATTTTCCAATAAACTTCTGACCTATGTCAATGCCACCATATGTGGTAAAAAAAAATCTGCATTTTTTTTTCCAGCGCACAACCAGCATTCACTACTCAATTCATGACTAATCTTCAGAAAGTCTCCTTGGCTTTCGACTGAGTTATCACTGTAAAACAGGTTTCTGTAACTGCACGTCCAATGAGAACAGAGCATCTTGTTTACATACAAAATTCCATTTTTCTAAACTCAGTTGACACACAGAAGAAATTAAAATAGATAATAGTCATAATAATCACAATTATCTCAGCAATTTGGGGCTCTGGACTTCTCTAGTCCTTAGAAGCAGCCCAAAATAAAATCTGCGTGCTGGCTGTTGGCTGTTCTCTCCACCTTCAATACAAACCTTGGTTTATAAAGCAACCATTAACTACTGGCTGAAAATTATCTTTTGTATATCTACCCGTCTCCTAACTTTGAAATATGGAGAGATGAAGGCTAACTCGTGACTTGGTTTTATTGGTAGCTAGCTAGTCTTGGATTCTGAAACCAACACTTGAGCAGCCTTGCCTTCCATGCAGCTAAACGCTTAGTAAAACAGTTCCTTCTTTCTCTCCTGACTCTTCCAGCATACTTTACTGACATAATAAATTATGAGAACCAAAAGGCTTGCCAAGCGATTCTACCCCCCTTGCCGCTCTCGAAGGCTGCTTCAATGGGATTTCGTATAGTGAAAGAGTCTGCTCTTGTGACTATAGGGCCATTGAGGATTTGTCCCCATGTAACATTCCGTTGCCCGAGATTTGAGGATGAGCATTAAAAGTTTCTGAGGACCATTATATCTCTCTCGGCATGAAGATCAGGATAAACCAGTACTACTACTGGCAGGATGGGATAAGTGCATTTCTTTCCAAATGGCGAGGTTTGTTGCTGCCATCATAAAGATGAGGATGCTAATGTAAACACGGTTGACCTGCACGCTAATTGCTCTACTCTGGGTCATTAGCCATTGGATTGTAAAGTGTATTATCCTTCTTTTGTTATTTTTTTTAAAGTCAGGAAATAGGATCTTTATTTAAAGATAGCTGAATACCAATATTTTTAGATTCTCAGTTGTACAGCGAACATCATAAGGGATAACCCCATTACTGTTAATCCGATTCTTATAATATACAAAACCTTATTTCTCCCATTTTGGGTAAACCTATCTCTGACTGCTGAAGACAACAGAGAAACGGTAGGGGCTAGATGCCTACTGCATTGGCCTCATACATGTAACATATCAGTAATGACTGCATTATTAAATCTATAATTTTTCTTTTCTTTTCAGACTTCTCAAGCCATAGAAAAGCATATAAAAGTATATTTTATTAAATCCTGCTCTATTAAATCCTGGAGTGTTTTGTTTCCTTTTCCACTCTGAAAGTCTTTGTAACCTTCAACTCTAAAGTAATAAATTCAATATGCCACACCCTCCCTTTTCTCGACATTATGCATAGCATTTGCATTAACCTTTGGCCTCTTGCCTTCCCAAGCAAAACGATTCAGTAACTTCTGCCAATCCCTAACCAAATGTTCAGTGTTACTAACTAACACTTTTTTCTTAATTAAAAGTTTAATCTTTGGGAAATTGCAATCTTAATGGCAATTACTGCGCCTAATAAAGACAGCTTTAAGGCTGCCCATGGGTTACCTGAGAGTCAAAATTGTACCTCGCTAAATCAGTATTATCCTATGCTGACATAACCTTTAAATATCTAACACGTCTTGGGTTCATTTTCATATCCTGTTTGAATTTTGATTAATCTAAAAATAAAGTAGGGCTTCTGATTCACATCAAAATTAATCATATACCCTGCCAGATTTCCACAGATTTTGATGCTATCTGCAAGTGCTATATTCAAGCCTTCAGGGTCTCTCATAGATATAGATAAGAGGGGAGGCACCATCGTATAGCCTGATCTTGTCAGATCCTGGAAGCTAAGCAGGGATCGAAGAAGAAGAAAGAAGAAAAAGAAAGAAGAAGAGTAAGAAGAAGGAGGAGGAGGAGGAGAAGAAGAAGGAGAAGAAGAAGGAGAAGAAGAAGAAGGAGAAGGAGACGAAAAGAAGGAGAAGAAGAAGGAGAAGAAGGAGAAGAAGGAGGAGAAGAAGAAGGAGGAGAAGGAGGAGAAGGAGAAGAAGGAGAAGGAGAAGGAGAAGGAGAGGAGGAGGAGGAGGAGGAGGAGGAGGAGATTGGATTTATACCCCGCCCTTCACTTGGAGTCTCAGAGCGGCTTACAAACTCCTTTCCCTTCCCCTCCCCACAACAGACACCCTGTGAGGTAGGTGAGGCTGAGAGAGCTCTGACAGAAACTGCTCTTTTTCAAGGACAGCTGTCCCGGAGCTTGTGACTGACCCAAGGTCACATCAGCAGGTGCCAGTGGAGGAGTGGGGAATCAAACCCGGTTCTCCCAGATTAGAGTCCACCAAACTGGCTCTACTTGGATGGAAGGCTCTGCAGAGGAAGGCAACAGTAAACCACCTCTGCTTAATCACTTGCCTTGAAAGCCCCTTGCAGGGGTTGCCATAAGTTGGCTGTGACTTGAAGCATTTCACACACATGCACACACACACACATATTTCAGAGAGCACCAGTTCCATTCCCACTCTTGCCTTGCAACAGACCGTAAACTGACAGATAAAAGGTTATTCTTTTGTTTTTATGTGGGCATGGAGGATTCCACCTCATGTGGGGGTTTGAACCAGAAAATGTGGCTGTAGGTGAAACTGATGTTGCTATAGCTATGTTGCTGGCCCTTTCCAGAAAATGTCCCTCATTCTAATATTATCAGAGCAGTGCAGCTAAAGGGAATGGCAGCCACACTATTCTTAAGAACTAGCTTTGCATATTAACAAACTCATTCATTCAGTCTCCCCAAAGGAAGTTTAAATGGGTAAAGATATATGTGGCAGTCTCCATTGTCCAGACAGAAGTGAGGTGAAAAGAACCCACAATGGTGGGTGGAAATGTTTCCTTCCATCCCCACAATTCCATGGTTTCTACTTAGAGTTCTTCCATAATTAAGACTGCTTTCAAAAGAGACCTAAAAAGCATCTTTGAGCCCTCAGCCTCATTTTGTATCATATGGAAGTGTTGTTAATGTGGAATGAAACACACACCAAAAAAATCAAATGGATATTATTCTAGCCACGGCATGTTTCCCATATGCATTACAAAGCAGCAGCTTAAGTAACATTAACATTTGGTTAATATTAAATAGGAGTAAAACGTTTTGTCAAAACGAGCCCTCTATCATCTCCATCGCCAAATAATTTAAACTTAAGCAAAATGGAAAAGACTGAATCTAAGCCCAGAAGAGTATTTTAATTGCACTAGAGTCTGGGATACCATAACCAAAACTGTTTTGCCTGTAAAATCAAGTCTCCCAAGTGGCCAGACCAGGGAAGGAGATGTACTCTGCACTTAGAAAATGCAGTTTGGCCTCCTCCAATTTTTAAGCAAGGTTAATTTTTCAAAAAATTATCCGTACAGAAATCACCAATGGCCAAGTCTCAACATTAGAAATGGCAACTGGAACTGAAAAGCATTAAAGTGCTCACAGACCAAGGCAGGTTCTTCCATTGGAATGCACAGTGTATTCTGGGTGACATCCACAGACAGGCCCATCCTCAGCGTCCTCACATGTATGCTGACAGCCACCATTTCCGTGGTTGCACGTCACTGAAAGGAAAACATACAAATCAGCTTCAGAAACATTTACAAAGCCTGTAAAGACCAGGAAGCCTCCATCTTCTGTAACACTACATACATGCCTTCTATACATTTGGCATCCTTATAAGGAATTTTAGCATGTATTTTGCCAGCGAGTATGTACTTTGACATAATTAGAAATTAATTACACCCAGGGGCAGTAAACAGATGAAAGTGTTTCCTTGATTGCTTTTAACTGATATAACAATTTAATTAATTTAACGCAATTAACTTGATTATATTATTCATTACATTTAAATTGCTTTTATTTAAGTGGCTTATGACTGATGACCCAATGAAAAGCAAGTAACACGGTAACGTGTTATTTCTGAGAGTCTTTCATTTATATTAAATAGGCAAATAATTTACTGTGATTCGATGCCATCTTACAACACAATGCCTCAATTAAACGTTTGACAGACAGTTATGGCACCGAAAACCCATTTTTAAGAAGACAGCTCTGATTAGGATCCTGTTAGAAATCAACACTGTTGAAGATATACCGATGCAGCATCTTAAAGATAAATAGTGTTAGGGTGGTATGAGCAGAGGTCATTTCGGGGGGGAACGCGGGGGAACGCAGTTCCCCCGGGTGAGGTGCGGGGGGCGGGGCACATGACGAAGCCCCGCCCCCTGCTTCCGGCCGCCCCGCTTCCAGCCCTCATTCAGCCAGGAGGAGGCAGGAGAAGAGGGAGGGTAAGTTGCTTCCTCCCTGCCTCTCCCCACCCCTGCCTGCCTGGGGCCAGGGAGGGCCTTGGCGGGGCTTCCTCGCACTCCCGCCGGCCTTGCAGGTCCACCGCCGGGCCCCTGATGTCAGGGGGTGTGGCATATGCTAATGAGTTATGCGAATGAGTTCCCCTAGCTCTTTTTCTACGAAATGACCCCTGGGTATGAGCATTCATAGACAGGAGCAGACTTCACCATTCATGAGCACCTTAAATCTGTTCATCTTTAAGATGCCAAGGAAACCTTTGCAATTAAGAGCGGCAACAGAATGAGAACTACACTTTACACTCACCGCCAGCATGAGCCCAGGGTCTCCCTAATAGCCAAGAAGGAGAACGATCAAGTAAAATTAGACACTAAGGAGAGAGCTAAACAAAGGTAAATAAAATACTAAGAAAAGGGTCAAGATTCTACTTTCCCTTTGTCTGTGATGGTGCTTGGATGAGGGACCCTTTACAACTGTCAATAAGCAGGCTGCTCTCACACAGCGAACATTAACATGAAACACAGTTTTAATGAAGTCATTGCTCTAGGATTTGTGATTAATGAGATAACCATTTTGGTCGCAACAGTTAAATAGTAAAGCATATGAATCCAAATGAAAAATGGAGGGCTTGTGCAGTGGCATTTTAGAAATCCACCCAATTCCATTTGGTAATTTATCATTTAATCTCCCAAACAAAACAGGTATCCCGGAATTAACAAATCAGCTACAAGAATGGCAGAATTCTACTTGCTCGCTTTGAGAAACCATAAGTATGTGTAGAATGTAGCATACAAATGCAGTCTCTCTGGTTCCTGGCTAGTTCAAATCCAGGTCTGCATTCACAGGCCACTCCTCCTTTCGGCGCTTCTTTGCAAATATGGGCACAGCCATGATCTTTATTCATGCAGCTCATGCCTTCTGCAGAAACAACAAAAAAGATGCATCAGTGCCTTTCAGTGCAGACATAGCTTAGACTACACCCCTATATTCCAGTAAATATCAAATGTGTGACCCAATCAATTGTTATTTAAACAAAATATATACATCAGGGAACAAAATCATAACCTGCAGTAAATATCAAATGTGTGACCCAATCAATAGATACAACAGGGAACAAAAGCATAACCTGTAACACCACTGCCTTAATTGCTGTTCTCTCTTTGTTTTTTAAAACTTATTTGTATCTGGTCCTTTTTCTAAGTAAAAAATGATATAAATGGAGATGTGACCCTAATTCATTCTCACAACAGCCCTATGAGGTTAGCTAGGCTGGGAGATCGTGATTAGCCCAAGGACACCAAGTGAGCGTCATGCCTGACCAGGAATTTCAGCCCAGAACACCTTATGTCAAGCCCAACTTTCTATTATCTACATCGTACTGGCTTCTTATATTACTTGTTTACATAGCTGCATTTCTTACTGTATGGTTATACAAGGAACCGCAAATGTGACTATTTCTAGTTAAAATTCAGTTTTAAAACAAACACATAAATCAAAAAGCTTTCTTTGGGGGCTGCTTAAAGAGTAAAATTATTGCTGTTAAGTCCACCATATGTCAAAATGATGACTGCCATGACATTTTAAAGGTTTATACACATCTGTAAACATGCAGTGGAGAAGGTTCCCAAATGTCCCCAAACGGGCAAATCTTGCCTTCAAACATTATGATGTTCACTGAAGACACATAGTGAACATGCTGGAAACATGAGTGCCATGCTTCCATGAACATGAAACTTAGTTAGAGTCTATGCTTTCCAGGTCCCATGCACCTGTTCTTCACTGAGACACAAAAGGGTATCTAGCCTGAAAAGGGGATCATTCCATTTATTGTGACTTATGGGGGGGATGGCTTGCCTAAGCACGCTCATATTTCAAGGTAGCTTCTTGCATCAAGAACAGCATGTGATTAGCCTAAGGGCATCAAGTGAGCACCATGTCTTAGATGATACCCGGCTCTATATATTCATTACTGTAGACAACATTCAGTTCTGTTTCATTATCTTAGCCTACTGATATATCCACCTGAACCAAGATACTGAAGAAACACAGCCTCTTGCCCAACAGCCTCCAGCATCAGGGAACTTAGACAGCCTGATTCCCTTTGGAACTTGTATCTATCATTTTAAATGAATGTGCTTTAAAAAATACCTAAACCTATGATCTATTCCATGTAGCTCTCTAGTACCAAATATCACATTTTAATAGAGCCATTATTAAGTGTTTCATTAAAGGCTTTCTATACATCCAGTTGTCCATGCTGTGTCATTCATTGGCTGAACAGAATTTAGTATGAACAAACAGGTTATGGATGAGGAAGAATAAGTCATATTAGGTGGCTTTTCTCCCTACCGGGAGCCTCAAAGTTTTCATCTCGGACAGTTTACAAGCAGTTAATACTCTGGCATTCAAAATGAATTGCTACACATAGTATTGGTCCTGATAAAATATATTATATTGTTTTGGATTAATCGGCAGACAAATCAAGAAATGTAAACCGATGACATGATGTATACTGAAAATTATAAATAAACAGTAAAAAAAAAGAACCGAAAAGGTAAGAAAGAAATCTACTAGCGAGCCAATAGTTAAAGCCTCATATATACTTGTTATAAGTAAAAATACATGTATTTATTTTGAGAAAAGTTAAAAAATATATACGGGCCCAATGAAAGCCTCATTACAAAGTACAAATAACATACACCCAAGGACCAATTATGACCTAAAGTGCTTCGGCCCAATAAGGACTTTTGTTAATCTGCAGACAATGTCTACTGAAAGTTTTGGTACAGGAACAGGCCAAAGGCAGTAATGGAACTGTTTTGTATGCAACAGTTTTCAGTTCTTACCCCTTCATAGTGGGTTGGCGATTCATACTCACTGTGGCCAATGGATATACAATAGCAGGACATCTATCAAAACCCATATCATTTCTGGGGAAAAAAACTCTGGCCCAAATGCAGAATGACTGAGTAGTTTGCACATACACAGTTCATTAACTCATGTATCTTACATCCCATGATATCCATAATGTGAAACAACGCAATTGTGAACTGGATGGAAACTTGCTGAATTTACTGACAAATTAACAGATTTATTTGCAGAACAGTTCCCCTAAATTTCTCATATCCCTGTTGTGCTACCATAATATTCATTGCCCCAAGAAGATAGCACGCTTTTGGAAAGATCTGTAACATTTTAATCAGGCATGCAGTAGTCTGTTTTTGGCTTTGGTAGCTTTCTTCTAGGGGGAAAATAGGCTTTGAGCATCAAAGAAGCAAACTGCTCCGCTGCTTTGATTATTCTGCTCTGTTGGCTTCTTGATTCCTTTCCCACAGTGAGAACCATCCAGAATATACAAAAGAGCCTAAAGATCGCCCCATGAAAGATGGCAATCCCTATGATGCTGTCAGCCAGGCTCTTTGCATCACAGTAGATCACAAATTAGCCTTATTAACTCTGGTTGTTCTGTGGCATTTCAGAGCTTCAACATGCCATGTGATCTGTCTGTTAGCTAAGAGGTGTTTAAAACGTATTAAGAGAATTAAAGAGCTTAGCTTCTGTTAACAGTGTAACTTCACTGTGTGCATTCTGAAACCAACAGAGACATCATTCAAACAGGTACTTTGGTAAAGTCCATTGAGCCAAAATCTCTCTTGAAATGCTGAGTTGGGACTTGCTTGGTTTGCATATAAAGAAAATCTTCATTATTAAAAGTTTTAAAAAAGGGGGAGACAGTAATGTCCAAAACAGACCACATTTTACAAAAACAAAGGCATCCTTTGTTTCATTAAACCCTCTTTGGCTGAGTTGTGAAATCAACTGTCCAACTAAACATTATTTGTGTAGAGAAAGAATTATCAAAATGTGTTAAAACCTCTAATTATAAGCCAAATTGCACATATCTCTGTTCCAGTATTTATTAAGAATCAACTGCTTGAAATACTGAAGAATGTATAATACGTATATTTGGAAAACATATTACTAATGTGCCATTTTTATACAATTGTATTCTTAGGACTACAAAAGAGAATAAGTCAACAAGTTATCTATCCCGTAATTTCTAGACCTCTAAATGAAGATCTTTTCCCCCCTCAAAATAAATTACCTCCCTTCCCAATCCTGAACAAGAGCCCACAAGAAAACACAAGGAACAGTTATCAACATGTACTATATTCAAATTAAATAAACATTTGCAAAAATGCCCGTGTGCCAATAGGCTCTTAATATCCCATCTGAAAATCATACTGTCAACAGAGATTTTCAACTAAGTGGCTGCATATAGTAATGTCAATCTTTATTTTGGAAGACCAACCTCATTTTGTCCCATTAAACAAACTAGAATGTATTACTGGAAGCCTTGGCCAAAACAACATAGACTGCATAAGTGTCTCTTACAAAATTCCCAATAAACAGGTAGGTTGGCTGTGATGCTAACTTTTGCTAATCACATCTTTAATCATTTCTGCTGGAGACCTATGCAAGATCCACATGTCAGACTTCTATGTATTTGGCCATTAAAGTTCTAATCTTTAGTATCTTGACAAGTATAGAAACATGCTACTAGAATTTTCCTTGCAATTTTTTTAAAAAAATGATGTACTTTTGTTTTTAAACTTGCATCCTTGGTTCCTGATGCTTCTTTAACTGGTTGTTCTGGGTTGAACCTAGCCATTGATACCATCTGATACAGAGAGCATTAGAGAAATGAGCTAGAGGAGTCTTCACTAGCCTGTTTTGTCCTTCTCCTCATCTCTCCAAGTTGAATGGTTTTGAAAAGGGACAGGGACAAACAACATGAAGCAGAAGGATAATTCTTCTGTCACATCCTCACATCTGCCTTCGCCAAGTACCAGATTTAGACAGTACTAGATGGGACAACCATTTGTGAATGGCTTGGTCCATCCCTTTCTGCTCCCTCCCTCAAGAACTGCGACCTTCTGATGTTGTTGAAAATTTAAATCAAGGTTCCTTGTATTCTTGCACAAAATGCACCAAAATGAGAAAAAGACAAGCAGGGACTTGCAAGGACTTGAAGGGGACGCTTCGTTTTCCTCTCTCCCACTAATGCCTCCTTCCCTTCCCATGCAGCCCTCATACTCGGTCCTTCTTTCCTCTTCCTTCTCTCCTCCCCCCCCACCAGCCAGCCTATGTTCATCTCCCCCCCCCGCCGCCCCCCCTCCTCCGTTTTCCTCTCCTTCCCTTTAACTGGCAGGAAAACTATAGCCCATCTGAGCTGTAAGTAACCATCAAGGGCTTAAGTTAACTTCACAAGAACTGTCATCAACACAAATCTGTTATATATCATTCATAGTTACCTGAACACTGTGCTCTCCATCTCCACGTCAAGCCATAAGGCCAAAACACGCATGACAAGGATCACCAACGAAACCACCATTTTAACAAGACAACAGAGAATAGGGAGAAAGAATTTAACCTCCAAGCCCACTTCATGAATTGAAACTGGACTCCCATGTTTTGAAAGAAAAAAGAAGAGCCTTTGAGGGACACCAGTACACAGAACCAATGGTTCAGGTTTCTGAGTTTTCAGCTACATTATATCCTACCAACCCATCCCACTCTAAAAACAAAAATAAAACACACACTGAAGTTCACATGCTATAAACTGAGACTTGCCCCTTAGCTGCTTTTCTTAAATAAAAAAAAAAAGTGGTTTATTCAAACACAGCTTCATTCTATATTTATCCTAACCAACTTTGCAAGCTTATAAAATGTTTCACTGTATTCAACCCAATCAACTCCCACAAACTAACCACTGCTTCAGTGGAAACTCCCTGACTTTAACAATCACTTTCATGTTATTGCTCCAGGGTCTCCATTGAACTTTCATTCACTGCAGCCTTTAATTAGGCACCCGGTTTCATTTCTACTGCTTCAGTCTTAAAACTAAGCACAAGTCT